AAAATATATAATATAAGGAATTATATATATATATATATATAAATTATAGGATATATATTAATATAAAAAGTAATAATAATAAAATATATTATATTATTTTATTTTATTTATTTTTTATCTTTTTTTAATGAGGTTCAATTTCCAATGTATTTGGCACCCCTATCAAAGGGGTGCCAATAGCACTCCCCATATATATATATAGGCATGTTCAAATGAAAACTGTGCATTTCTAAGAAACCGTGTAAATCAATTTCGACCAATAGAAAATTTTCATTTTTTTTTCTAATTAAATTTAATCAATAAGAGTATTTCGGTCATTTATAATATTTTCTATTAAATATAGAAGTTATTAATAAATCTTAATTAAGAAAACGTAATAAAGGAAATTGTATAAATGGTAACATTTAAATATTTAATTATATTATAATATTAAAATTTTGAATTTGATATATTGTTATGAGATTGAATCTGCAAACGGATCTTGAAGATTGTATTGCATTATGGAATGAAATCGTAAATTATGGTTCAAATTAAAAAAAAAATGTTAATGAAATAAGTTTTATAAAGGTGAAACTGGTTCATTTTGTAATTGATTCATGAGTAATATGAAATCGTTTAATGGTGAACTACGTTTCAGTGATGGTGTAGTTGATCCGTTTAGTAGAAAAAATGGAACATGAAACGGGTGCATAATTTATTTGGTTCGTCATGAAATAATTGCATGATGAAACGGGTACATGATGAATCTGCTTCGGGATCTTGAAGATTGTAATCTGCTCTAGCTTGAAGATTGTAATCTGCTCCAGAATCTTGAAGATTGTAATCTGCTCCAGAATCTTGAAGATTGTAAGGATTAAAGGAAAGAATGCATCAAATCATGAGTGAAATAAAAAAAAATTAATTTATATGAAATAGGTTTCATGAAGGTGAAATTGGTTCATAGTGTAATTGAACAATGAGTGGTGAACTGCTTTCATGGTGAACTCGTTTCAGTGATGGTGTAGGTGATCCATTCAGCAGATGAAATGAAAAATGAAACGGGTGCATAATGTAGGCGGTTCGTCATGAAATAATTGCAAGATGAAAAATAAATTAGTTTCATTAATAATAATAAATGTTAACGTAAAAATAATAAATTACTTTACAAAAAATAAATGGAGGATATCGATTAGGAGATTGGGGAATGAATATTTGGTTTCACCTTTTTGCCCTTATCGGTATTATAAAATGTATTTTTTATTTTTTATTTTTAATTTCCTTAAATAACTTTGATTAATCTTAATCATTGATCAAGAAAATGGATGGGTGAGATTGGTTTACACGGTTTACACAAATGGAGGCGGTTTATGTAAGCGGGCATATCGATTACGGATAAAGATTTGTATTTGAAATTTTCAGGCCCTACACCATTGATTGTTTCATATCCAATTGATTTGGGAGGAACTGAAACAATCCAATAATCTTTTTGACGTTGAAATTTGACAATCGATTTATAAGAAATTTGACAACCGATCATATAAAATTACTTAACTTACTTGAACCATTGAATACATAAGTGTTCTTAAATTTACATGCTTACCTAGGTCTCTTCACACTCGATCAAATTGAATAAATGATAAATGCATAAACATATACTCATTAGTGATYACATAACTTACCTAGGTCTCTTCACAAGTGATCAATTTGTCAAAATTATCAAATACACTAAAGTGAGAAACGTAAATTCAATATAAAATCCAAAAAACTTGGTTACACCAACGGAAAGAAAGTGACATTTTTTATTGAACTATAAAAGTAAACAAAATCACCATAGCAAACTCATAATTTACACAAGAGGAAAGTTTTGGACAGTTGTGTCTTTCTGCATTCACTGCAAGCTAAGAAAAACCTATGGATTCAACAAATGAGGCCTTGAAACCCATTATCTAACACAAAGCAGAGCTATCAACTCCTTCAACCATCATCACCTTTTATTTTCAGTCTTGCTTTATGCTTCACCTTTGATTTCGATTTGGCTTTGCGTTTTGGTTTCAGATTTGTTTTGGCATTCGGGTTTTGTTGCAGGATTATGGTTAGGCTTCACTATGATGCAAGTGATGTTATCACAGCTTCCACAGTTAGAAACGGTCTCAATCAACCTTTTAGCTGCTGCCTCTGGTTCGTCTTTAGTCTGTGCAAGTGAGACAGCATCCTGATAAAAGAGACCCACAAAATTTTAGTGTACAACCATGCATCAGCTCATGAATATGGAACTCTTCTTTTTTTACTCAACCCAATGAACCTATATCTTACTTCTCTCAGAGTACTCTTCAACTTGTGCAAAATGTATCATATGTACCCTGCCTCATCATATATAAAGTCTATTAGCCACATAACATGCCACCACAATTTTTAAACCAGTTTCACAAGATGCACATATTATAAAGTAAATGTGAAAATGGAATCGGATTGATGTCAATCGGTGATAAAAGTTCCTACATGAATTCAATTCGTAAGAATTAAGATTATGATCAAAAGATGTATTGTAGATTATGGGACAGGTTACCCTGCCTATACGTTGCTTGTAACGGTTGTGTAAAAACACGAAAAAGAAAAGTAACCAAAGAACCTTTTGCCTAGCAGAATTCGAGTTACCAATAGAGTCCAGCGTCCCAAAAGGTCAACAGTTCACGGGTAGAGGAGCGACGGAATCAAACAGAAACAGAAAGGAGCAAGTGTTTTTACCTGATTCATGATAGATGAACAGAATTAAAACCGGAAGAGGAGGTAAAACATAATTTTTTCAAAATAAACATCACTGAATGGATTAGAATCAGAGGTAAAACATAATCTTTTCAAAATAAGATGTCAGTCAAGTTAGTAACTAAAAGAAATTGAGAAAGCAAAGTTAAAAATATTAAGAAAATCTAAACAGATTGAAGGTATGAAACCAAAGAAAGAACGTATAGATATTATAAAAAAAGTACCTTATGCATTATGGTTTATAAAGTAGTATAGATAATAATTGGCAGAAGAGATGATAACCCCATCAACCTTTATCAACTTGTAATTGGATAAATGTCCAAAGAAATGTGATTGCTTTTAGAGTTTTGGGTAGGAAAGCAATGAAGCAAGTTATACTCTCAGTGGAAATTGACAAAGATGCCATAATCTATGGAAGGAAAGCAATGAAGCAAGTCTTCATTTGTGGACCATGTTGTCTTCTCCCTATTGAGCAGAAAGATGAATAAGAAAACAAAAGTTAAGATGAAAATCAAGAGATCCAAAATAAAAAGTTTTTAAGTGGAGAAAACAATTTAAGGGGTCGTTTAACAAACACTTACCTGGTAAGCACTTATCGGTAAAATTCAATACTATTATTTACTTACCGGGTAAAATTTTAGTCAACAAAAACAGCTTTCTATGGGACAATTTACCTGGTAAGAGCTGACCGTAGTAAGAATCATTGCCCTCACTTACCCGGGTAAGACTCTTAGTCCTTGTCTCATTCTTACAGGGTAAGATTTTTGGTCCTTACTATATTCATACGATAAGGTAATATAACTTCGTAAGCGCTTACCCAAGTAAGCGTTTGGTAACCGGCCCCTAAGTACATAATCAATCAAGATAAATTCACAAGTTAAAATATTTTTGCGTAAATGTTAAGCTGAAAATCAAGAGATCCATTATGTAGAGTGTGGTACCCTTCTTAGATAAAGAATGGACTAAAAACAAATGGGCAAAAACTAATATGTGAAAAAGAAATAGAAAAAGGATAATTTTCTTAATTATAAATCCTTAAATGACCAATGAGAGTAAGGATGATGTTGTAGACATGTTGGGTGAATCTCCAAGAACCACAGGAACATGGAAAGAGTTGT